AGCAAGCAGGGGTACGGCGGCAGGAGCGGCTGCTCACAGGTAGGTGTGTGGAGGCCAGGTGAAGATAGGAGGAGAAAACCCCACGCCACGTGTGGAAGGAGAACTAGCCTCCAAGGACACGGGAGGGCCAGGAAGCCCTGGCTCCATTTCTCCCTGATCTGAGGTGGGCTCTGGCAGCTCTTGAGTGGGGCCCAGGTGAGGGCTCACCTGGCTCTGGGCCGCGTTGCCAACTCCCCACACGGTCGTGACCACAGACAGCGATCCTGCTGGCTGAGTGGCACTTTGTTGCCAAGGCACCGCCTCATAAACAAATGGACCATCACTGCAAGGAGCAAGGCGGGTGGGGAGGCTAGGGGTCAGGGGCCACAGGTGCCAACATTTTCCCACCTGGGAAGAACTGAAGGCTGGGAGCAGAGGGAACCCACTCCACCACCCCATCTAAGACCCTTGGGCCTGAGAGGGGAGGGCAGCAGGAGCCCCCACTCACCCATGTGGTGCGGGGGGCAGGGCAGGTTTCATGGGGTTCGTGGGGTTCATTGGCTTCCGAGCAGCCTAAAGGCCAGGTATGCAGGTGGCAGGAAGCAGCTCTCACTGGTGCTTACGTGGGACTCAGCTGCTCTGGCTGCTGGGACACGAGGGAAGGATGTCAGTGAAGATGCAGCTGGCAGACCCTGTCAGCAACGCGCAGGGCGGAGGGAGCCCTGAACACCAGGCCCCATCCTTCTTCTGCTCCGACTGATGGAGCGCAGGGCAAGGCAGGGTGAGACTGGGATCCCAGGGCCCACTCGGGCGGGTCAGGGCAGCCTGGCATCAGCCTCACCTTGCACTGCCCACCCTGGCAAACCTCTGCCCTCCCCAACCCTCAAACCTAGCCTGGAAGCCAGCATTAACCCTTTCTGGCCAGGCCCTGCCCCTAGAATGGCTCTGGAAGCAGACTTTCTTTTTTTTTTTTTTTTAAAGATTTTATTTATTCATTTTTTCCCCCCAAAGCCCCAGTAGATAGTTGTATGTCATAGGTTCACATCCTTCTAGTTGCTGCACGTGGGACTCGGCCTCGCGTTGGACGGAGAAGTGGCGCCTTGGGGCTTGCCCGGGATCCGAACCCGGGCCGCCAGCATCAGAGCGCACGCACTTAACCGCTAAGCCACGGAGCCGGCCCAAGGAAGCAGACTTTCTGATTCCAAATACTTTCTACACTCTCCCTCCTACACAAAGGGAACATCCATAAAAGCCAGGGAACATCCAGGACCCAACTGCCAGAACTCCCCACAAGGTCCTGGGTGGAGGCTGAGGCCAGAGCCAGTGGAGGACAGAGGACCAGCCCAGGGGCGCCGTCTGCTCAGGGTCTGGGGCTTGCTCACCCTGTGGATGGGGGCTCTGGAGGCCAGGGGCCAACAAGGTGAGCCATCCCCCAGCTTGGCCTGGGGGAGGGGCGTGCAGGACGCCTGCTGGAGCATCGTGTGGGGCCAGCAGCCCATCCCTAGCTGGCAGCTCCCCAGAGAGCACCTCCTCCAGGCACCAAAAGGGCGGCGTGCGCTCACTCCCATGCTCCAAAGCCAAAGGGGCTGCCTGGGGCTGATGTGGGTACAGGGGCCAGGCAGGGAGACTTGACCCCACAGGCTGCAATGACACCCACAGGGAGTTCCCAACAGGGCAGGGAACCCACCCTCCAGCGGGTGGAGGGTTGGCGGGCGCCCACAGACAAGGCAAGGGGCCAACAGGGACATGCAGTGGTGGCTGGTGAATGCTCGTGGCACCCAAGTGCCAATGCGGGGGGCTTCCTCCTACTATGTATCTTGGAAAACAAGTGAGACAGGGCCGGCTGATGCCAACACCCTGACACCCCCACGAGCAAGCCCTACACCGACAGGGCCTAGGGCTCTTGCTGGCACCCCAGGGCCACCTTCCACATCCCCCTTTGCCTGGTCTAATCAGAGGCATGCCCACTACGGTTCTCAGGGGGTACCCAGGGAGGCTCCGCCCTCTAGGTGTTGCGTTCTGCTCCTCGGACTGCAAGGCCTCACACACACAGACACGCCCCTGGGGCAGGCTAACCTCTCGTGGTCCAATCCCGCCACTCCAGCAAGGCTCACATTCCTCAGTGCTGACCAGGGACCTCACGGCCAGTGCAACCCGAGGGAGGCAGGATTACCACTGCATCCACTGCAAATACAGCCCTGGAGACGCAGCGGGGTGAGCCCCTCTGCAGGTGAGGGTTACAGTGGGGGCTGCAACTCGGGCCCACTGGCCCGCCACAGGCGCCTCTGCCTTGGGAGCTTGGGGACCTCACCTGGCCTTCCCCTCACAGAGCACTGAGGTAAGGGGCTCAGGAGTCACAGCAGAGCCAGGGCTGGGAGGGAAGGTGGCCCATCAGGTGAGAGGGAGGCAGTCGGCACGCCTGCCCACCTCCCATCTGGTGAGGCCCCTCCCAGAGGGATCGGGCCCCACCCAGGAGGCAGAGGCAAGTGCCCAGGCAAGGGAAAGCTAGCGTCCCCGGTCCCCACTGCCCGACTCTGGGATGGTGACACTGGGGGAGGACCTGCCAACAGCCAGAAACTCCTCCCCAGTCCTGCCTGGTGGGGCCTGGAGCAACATGCAGGGTTTTCAGGACTCAGAATATAGGTGGGCTAATCCAGACTGTGGTGTTGGCAGAGGGACAGACTCATAGGTCATTGGAACAGACTAGAGAACCTGAAACAGACCCACACAAATACGCCCAACTGATTTTTGACAAAGGTGCAAAAACCACGCATTGGAGGAAGAACAACCTTTTCAACAAACGGTGCTGGAACAGCCAGACATCCACAAGCAAGGGAAAATAAGGATCCAAACCTCACATCTCATACGGAAACCAACCGGAAATGGGTCACAGATTCAAACACAAAACCATAAACCTTTAGGAAAATACATAGGAGAAAATCTTCAGGATCTGGGGCTATGCAAAGAGTTCTTAGATATGACTCCAAAAGCACGATCCATAAAAGGAAAAACTGAAAACTTTTGCTCTGAGGAAGACTCTGCTAAGAGGATGAAAAGACAAGCTACAGGCAGCAAGAGATATTTGTAAGCCACATATCTGAGAAAGGACTAATATCTGGAATACATAAAGAATTATCAAACTCAAAAGTAAAAAAAAAACCCAATTAGAACATGAGCAAAAGACATGAAGAGACATCTCACTGAAGAGGACGTACAGATGGCTAATAAGCCCACGAAAAGGCTAATAAGCCCACGAAAAGATGTTCAACATCATTGGCCATCAGGAAAATGCAAATTAAAACCACACTGAGACATCACTACACACCTACCAGAATGGCTAAAATAAAAAATAGTGACACTACCAAACGCTGGCGAGGACAAACAATCTCTCACACACTGCTGGTAGGAACGTAAAATGGTGCGGCCACTCTGGAAAACGGTTTAGCAGTCTCGTAAAACTCAGTATGCAACTACCATACGACCCAGCAACTGCACTCCTGAACATTTCTCTCAGAGGAACATAAGCTTACGTTGACATAAAAATCTGTATGTGAACGTTTATAGCAGCTTTGCTCCTAATAGCCAAAGAATGGAAACCCAGATGTCCTTCAGGGGTGAAGAGTTAACCAACTGTGGTATGTCCACAGCCTGCAGGCATAAAAAGGGTGAGCTCCTGATACAGGCACCAACCTGCAGGAACCTCCAGAGAAATCATGCTGCGTGGAAAATGCCAGTCCCTGAAGGTTACACACCGTATGACTCCTTTATATAACATTCTTGAAATGATGAAATTGTAGAAATGGAGAGCAGGGGCCAGCCCCGTGGCTTAGTGGTTAGGTGCGCGCGCTCGGCTACTGGCGGCCCAGGTTCGGATCCCGGGCGCACACCGATGCACCACTTCTCCGGCCATACTGAGGCTGCGTCCCACATACAGCAACTAGAAGGATGTGCAACTATGACATACAACTATCTACTGGGGCTCTGGGGAGAAAAATGGAAAAAAAAAAAAAAAGAAATGGAGAGCAGACTAGTGGTTGTCAGGGGTTAAACGGGGGGAGGAGGGAAGCGGGTGTGAACATAAAAAAGCGAGGATGGAAATATCTGTATCTCAACTGTATGGATGTAGTACCTTGGTGGGATCCTCTACCACAGTTTTGCACGATGTTACCATGGGGGAAACCAGGTAAAGGATACAAGGGCTCTCCGTGTTATTTCTTACAACTGCATATGAATCTATAATTCTCTCTCCAAAAAAACTTAGTTAGAAAACCACCACCAGCAGCCCTCTCTCTCCACAGAGATGCCATGGCAATCCTTTCCCACCCCAAAGCTGGTTGGGTTGGCCCAGCCCACTTTGCTGTCCCAGAAGCAAGGGGCAGGGAAGATCAGGAAGAAGACAAGTCCCAAGGCAGATGGTGTTCCATTCAGAACTGCCGGCGCCAGCTCCTCTCCAGCGCCAGCACACCAGAATCACCTGGAGTGCTGGAGACAAGACTGCTCAGCCCCACCCCTAAATCAGGAGGATGGGGTGGGGCCTAAGACTTGCAATTCTAACACGTTTGCAGGTGATGCTGCTGCCTGGTCCACAGTTTGAGAGCCTTGGGGAGCCGGGGAGGAGGGGGGACAAGGTAAGGGCCTCTCTGGAGGCTGCTGGTCTGGAGCCCGAGGCAGGCTCCTACATCACATGGGTCTGGGGAATTCCACCCCTGCAACTTCTCTGCTGTGGACGAGACCACAGACATTTCCAGTTCCCGGTGAGCTTACTGCGAGGGCGGTGACTTCCTGGCTTCCTGCTGAGCTCCTGAACTAAGTCTGATCTCCTCCCTGAGAACACCCTGCACTCTCCAGACCGGGTATGACCCTCTGCTCCTGACGAAGGGAGGGGCATGCTGTGAATGCGGACCCTCCACCCACCTCCTGGCCTCAGAGGCAGAGCTGGGAAGGAGCCCAAGAATGTGCAGGGCCAGTGCGGCCTCTGGTGGCTTCCTGCTGGCCGGAGGCTCTCCCTGTACACCAACTCCAGCTGGAAGCCAGGACCCCTCAGCATAACTGCCCTGGCACAAGGTTAGTCTAGAAGCCACATGGCTTTCTAGGAATCAGGTCACATCCTCCTCCAGAAAAAGAGCTACAGACACCTCACTACCCAGACCCCTCTTCCCTGGGACCTTGGAGTAGCTGCACCTGTCTCCTGTCTGCCAACCAAAGGCAGATGTTAATGTGGGTCAACCTTCTTCCACCGCCACTCTGTCCCCCCTGCCTGGTCATGCAGGAGCAGCACATCCCACAACAAGCCACCCGACCCCAGGAAGACAGCCCCCCTCCACGGTCACAGAGCAGCAAGGAGCCCACGGTTCCAGGGACAGGCCCAAACCAGAGGAACACTGGAGTCAAATGGGCTCGGAGAAGAGAGAAATGACAGCTCGAAGCAGGAGGACACAACTGTGGGGGTTCGCATGCTCAGGTGGCTGGAAGTCCTACCCTTCTACCTACAAGACCACAACACTGACGGGCTTAAGTGCTGGAGTTCATCCAAAATACCCAGAAATGAGCATTTACGAATGGCCCAGGTGCGGGACATTTCAAAGAACCACGAAAGGCTTTCACTACTTGAGGCCTCACTTTACAATGCATAAAATGGGTACATGGTGGCCATCCCAGGACCGAGGAGAGGGGAGGACACATGACCACCTTATGTCATCAGCCTTGGCTTCCATCCTGGACACAGGTGCTAGTGGACACTCCACGGGGAGGCCTGGCTGTCCTTGGAAAGCAATCCAATGATCAGGAGTCCTCCCTAGGCATATCCTGCTCTCCTTCAGGAGTCGCTCTGAACCTGTCATTCATTATCTCACCTTCCTCTTTCCTGATTTCTATTTCAAGTTTGTAACTACTCCTTGGGCATGACAAGTCCCCAAGGCCAGTACCCCCTGGGTGAGGTTACGAGTCCCTCATTTATACTGCTATCTCTCAAGCTTCTTCAAGGGAGGCCCTCTGGTTCTAGCATGCCAGGATTTGGTGGGTAAGTCTGTGTTCACCCTATCCGTATCCATCACTGTCTTATAGCTCGAGTCACATGTTTTGTGTATGTCCCCATGAAATCTTCTGGGATAATACAAATGACTTAAACACATAACCATGGGTGTTCTGCAACTATGGGCAAGAAAGCACGGGGAAGCGGGGCAGGGCGGAGGAGCGGCGGAGGAGGAGAGGGGGGAGAGAGCGAGATGGGGGCGCAGGTCAGAGGGGGAGCAAGATGCAAGAGCAGGATGGGGGAGCTGGATGGGGGAGGTCAGAGGTGGGGCAGATCAGGGGGGCGTAGGTAGGGGGGCAGGACGCGGGGACTAGGGCAGACACCTTCCCGCCTGGGCTTCAGTATATCCCGTTTGGAAACGGGTATCGCCACCGAAACCACGGCGGGGCTGAAGGGTCAGCGTCGCCGGCCGCGGAGCGGATCTCTGCGGTACACTCATCACCGTACCGGCGGGCGCGCACGGCCCGGAAAGTGAGCCCACTGGCCACAGCGCGAAGTGGAGGCAGCGTGACCAGGTCCGGTGAGGGCCCGGGTCAGCCCCTCGCCCAGGAGGACGCCGGGGCCGCGCACACCCCTCGGGCCCCTGGCTGGCTTCCGGCCGGCCCAACAAAGGCGCAGGTGAGGGCTCGGCCGGCGCACACGGGGCCGCTCGGCCCAGCACCACGACACACGCTGGGCAGGTGCGGCAGGTGGG